GCCTGGCTGGTCATCACTTTTTCCACTTTTTTTTTTCATGTCCCTGGTGAAATTTTGCATCTGTCGGCTCCCTTGCCGTCAAGTGGTCTGTTCTTATGACATACAAGTCACACATTTACTGATGAGGCAGCACATTCATAAGTACATCTTCAAGGCATATACACACTTGAATGGCTCCCAAGGGGATCACTGCATCTGTATGAAAAATATTCACATAATAATCACATAAACTGAAATATTACTGTAAAATGGAAATGAAGCTCACTTTTAACAGGAAATGAATTGGACTCTTGGTTAACAATGCAACCCTGGATAGCATATTTGCAGAGCGTTATCTAGCTGGGAAGTTATAAAGAAGAGTTTTTGTGGATAATATAATTACAGAAAATGGAGTGGAATATGGGACCAAACTGCTCAACCATCATTTCTCTTCTGAGATATTTTGCTATATTTATGGTTGAGGAATGGCTAGAGATTTTGGGCCCCATGAAAGCAAATCATATTGGACCCCCAACCCAGAACAAACCAGTAATGTTTGAAATTTGTTATTACTCAGGGGCCTTGGCAATTGTCCAACCCTATCCCCCCCCACCCCTTTACGACATTCGTGTTTATGGTATTTCCAAAAAGTAGAAAGTAGTCTGAGAAATTTGAGAGGGGGTGCAGAACTGACAGGATACCCTACAAACTTATGCCTGTACAGACTTTAATTCTTTTTGGATTAGATATTTAGGTTTGTAATGCTTAATATGTAGTTTAACTAATCTTGTTAACTAACCTTGTAATATTCTTAAATTTTTTTTTGAGCAAACACTATTGCCCAAAGCAACATATATCTATGTAAAAGCAGGGTCCAACAATTCCTAGAGACATTTGGGGTAAAGGACCCAAGCGTGAAATTTTAACCCGCAACCTTATGATCGCAGACACATCATCCTAACCCAATGTAAGACACACCTGCTGTGTTTTGTTATTAAGGTTATTTTCTACTGCTTAGATCCCTAGTAAGAACCCAGATGTGGAATTAAAATTTAATTTGAATTTCAAGCAAATTAAGTTTTTCTCTTATTTACTGCAGACTTTCTGGATAAATAACAGCCCCAGCAGAAAACTAAGAAACAGAGAACAGATGTTATCATGTGATGTGGGACATATATACGTGTGAGGGATAACAGATGTGATCATGTGATGTGGGAAACATGCACATGTAAGAGAGACCATATGGGATCATGTGATGTGGGACATATGTACGTGTGAGAGGGAACAGATGTGATCATGGGATGTGGGGCACATGTATGTGTCAGAGAACAGATGCGATAATGTGATGTGGGACACGTCCAAGTGAGGGGGAACAGATGTGACCATGTGATGCAGGGAACATACACATCAGAGAGAAGAGATGTGATCATGTGATGCAGGTCACATGCATGTTTCAGAGAGAGGATTAATGTGATCATGCCATGTGGGACACAAATATGCACTAGAGAAAATAGATAAGATGTTATGATGTGCATATTTCTGCAATTTTAAGTCTTTAGGGGTCTTAGCTTAGTGCTGTACAGGGACTTCACACAGAACCACTTATTATGGCTCACTTCAGCAGTACCCCAGAGGAAGGTGTTTCTATGGTTTCCATCTTAAACAAGAAGACTGAGGTCTGTCTCTAGTTCCATCTGTTTCCGTCTGCACACACGCTCACTCGTGCTGAGTCATGGGATTCATGCCGTCGAACCGCATCAGCCCTGAGCTACACAGCTGTTCTGAGCCTGTGGCTCCCAGAATGGCCAGCTCAGCCACACTTCATCTCGAGCTCCAGTCCAGCAAAATCTGGAATGTTCCTCAGTACCAGCCTGGCTGGTTCTCAGTTTTTCATGCCAGACTATACTTATTTAGTCCTCAGTGGTTGTCATAATGTGAATAAGCTGTGGTGCTTGTCTATAGCTTTGTTTTAAAGCGACATGTTCTTGGTGACTTCATATTTTCCCTGGAGATGACCAAGCAGCCTCTTCATGCAAGCCAGTCTTATAAACATCAAGACACTATAGCCCCCGCCCCGGTACCCCCAGACATAGAACTTCTGTGTGTGGACCAGGGATGATATACAGACTAGCCAGTGACGCATATTTTAAATAAATGTGAGCGATGGACACTGCCTGGCCATGACACTCCATGCTTTTCAGCCTCCAGATTTCAAATTTATTTGAATGATTAATTACTATTGCATGTACTGTATAATCAATTAACAGTTTGCTGTTATTAACTAACAGTTTGCTGTTAGTCTCTTGGGCCTAAGCTTCAGGCCTTTAGATCCTTTATTTTTTTGGACAAGACTCTTAGGAAACCACAGAAATAAGGTGAAACTATGGTGGTTATAATACATTTAGCCAAATACTGTGTGTCCTAACTCCTTGTCTTAATGTAATAATACAAAAAAATGTTTTATTGTTTTCCCCTCTTAGTCTACTGGAGCACATGCAGCTTCCTCTACATCATTCTTCCTTAAGCAGCCATCATGAAACATGACCTGCCTGAAGCAGCATTTTCAGTACATGTCACCCAGAGGTTCAAGCAGAGCGTAACTAATGTTCTGCTAGGAAAGAACTATTAAACATGTCAGAGGTCTTGAATTTGTCCACCTCTTAACTGGCTGTCCTGCAGAGTTTTATTTGTGATCCTTTGATGAAATATCAGTGTACAGCCCCTCGATTTAGTCTGCTATCTTTTAGTTGAAATTTTTCATAAATGCTGAGAGGACATACATTAACCCTGTATATTAGCCCTCAGTACCTGTGTGTGAGTTTGGGTATGATAATTAATCCTTGTGAGACTTTTTAAGTTAAAGAAGTGTGAAATGTGTCTCATTTTGGAAGTTTCCAAGTATGACTAATAGGAAAAAAATAAAGATTTAAATGAATAGCATGTCTGTCTTTTCATTTGGTCAGAAAACCTTCTGGTGCCATGATTCATCCCAAATACATTCTCAGTTATACCATGGTGGTGAGAAATGTAAAACAAACCCATCTTAACATCCTTACGCCTCACATGAACTTTTTGTTACTGGTGGATCGACAGCTCTCTTTCTCCACTCTGGAAGGGCGTCCGCGTTCTACGTGGTCATTCTGTGCAGTGGAGAAAATAACGGAAACATCTAAGTAACATGGATTATTTTCGGAGGCACATCAAATGCTATTTATGGCCGATGCATTTTTCATAATTTCCAGCCCCACATAATTTCCAGCCCCACATAATTTCCAGCCCCACATAATTTCCAGCTAACACCTTCTGAACGATTTCACTATGAACCCTCCCTTAGATGTGTGTAACATCTCAGAGGTTTCTGTATCACAAGCAATCAACCTTCTCCTCCCGCCTGGATTTTTTTGTAACAGGTGAGTTTTGTCACTGATTATTTTAATTTCCATTTATTTATTTATTTAGCAAACGCTTTGTGGACAACGCATTGCAAACATACAGCTGCATGGTTATCATTTCAATCTGCTTCCAGGCGTCCTTTGAAGTCAGCTAGGGTTTTCACTGGGTGGGTTAGAAAGAGGACAGAGAGGCGGTGAGATCACAGGAGTCTGGAGCTGGGGAGTTGCATCGCTGTGGACAGGTTGTCAAGGGTTACCGTCTCTGAGCCCACCCCCCCCCAATAGCTTTGCTCTCTTGTGAAATCGGTGCACTTTCACCCCTCTGTAAAAAGAATGGAGATGGAATTCACGGATTTGGAACATTTAAAAAAAGGACAGAGTCACTATCAGAGTCGGCGCCATGAAGGGGCCGGGGGAGTCGGCCTCATTCTAACAAGAGGACCACCTCAAACTGGTGCCCCCAAACCCCAAGGAGGGCAAGTTTGGCATCCTGTTGACTGATAACACCACTGCCTCTCCACCAGACCAAAAATCTTGGGACCGGTTATGAGAATTATTTTAAGCAGCGACCCTGGAGATTATTAGGATTGAAAATGGATGATTGATCTAATTCCCAGTGTTTCCCAGTGCAGCCCTTGAGGACCCACAGACAGTCCATGTTTTTTCTCTGGAACAGGGAGTGAGCAAAAATGTGGACCGAACCATCTGTGGGTCCCCAAGGACCAGATTAGGAAACACTGAACAAAACGGTTATGTTAAGGGCTTCACCCATAAGCTAGGCCCTTAAAAGAATCCAACCCCAGAGATCTGCCTGAGGGGGGCGCTACATCATTCTGATGAACCACATTTGATGAACCGCATTACTATTGTTAACTCAATTGAAAAAAATCTCAGAATCTTTTTCAAATCAGTTAACAATAGCAATAGCCTGGCTCAGGACCAATATAACAATAAGAAAGGATTCGTTACCCTTAAACACAATGTGGCATAGATATTTTGTAACAATAAGTTATTCACTTAATACTATTTCACAGTGTTTTAAATCTTATTGTCTATATTGTATTTGAGCCTGCTTTGCATCATTTTATGTAAACCATATTTTTATGCATGTCCTCCAGAGACAATTCTTATTGGCCCTTGTTTTTATCGTGTCTTTCAAATCCCAGAGTAGCCTCCTATAGTGCATATAACTGCTAGTTAATGTCAGGGTTTAATTTTTTTTATTTATGACATTTATTTGTAATGGGATCTGATTGTCAAAACACTAAATAACTTGCGTGACTTGAGATGTATACTTTTTTTTTAAAGGGAGAGCAGGGCGGAATGTGATTTCTGATGCTATATACTCTCTCCTGACACCTGTAAGATTTTAACGCAAAAAGTTGGAAATTGTAGCTAAGCATCGACTGGACTGTGAGTTTAATAAAATGTGCACGAAGCGCAGGAAGCAGAGTGCTGAAAGCGGGAAAGGGGTAACGGCACTGGTCCCATCTGTGACATCACCTTCACCGCCTGGTCCAGACCAAACATGGCTGGTTGCTATTTAGCCTTCTTCCCCGTTTCTTTTTTTTTTTTTTGAGAGTAGGAGGGGAGGTGGGGAGGAGAGAATTGGAAGAACTGCAGTTTGTTCTGTCTCTGCTCCAGGCCTTGTACCACAACTCCTCTGCACAGACAGCAGAAGGGTGTCCCGTCCTGGTCTCTTGCCTCGTTCACTGCTCCTTATCTCTGCTCCATCGTTCTCACTTCTCCACGGGGCTTGGCCCCCTGAAGTCGGAATAGCCAGTAGGATAATGACCCAAGAGCGACAACGTTGTTAGTTTGCAGTTTTACATTGTGGAAGACGACAGTCTAAGCTCAGGGTAAGTAACTCTCTTATTTCTTATGGTGCAAATGTGCAGATCTTGCAACATGGATGCATCTTTTAAGAAAGGACTTGAAAGATTTTACTAAAAACAAAAGAGATCAGTGGAAGATAGTGAAATGAGCATACTTTAAAAATACAAACTGGTCATTGGAAAAAAATATACTGTTTAAATGCAGACTTGCTTTAAAATACATGTATATTGCGACATGCGAAATATGCATGTGCCCTGGGATAATGCATATTCATAATTTTGTCTCTGATCTCTGGAAAACTGTTTCCTCAGCCACGCATTCCAACAGCGAGGTTAACCCTGTATTTGGAGAGGTATTACTGAACTACACCCCTCACTGCTGTAGTCTGCATTTCAACTGCAAAACTGCTCTGAAATCTAATCTCATTCTTTATTTTGCGTAACAGAACATATTTCCGGACATTTATGTGATATGCATTTTGTATTTATGTGGTATATGGTGTAGAAAAGTGGATGCACTACAATTTTTCCTTCTTTATATGGTTGGATTTTTAATAAGCTGCTGCAGGATAAACACCACAAAGGTACAGCTGAGGAGTCACACATGGAAGTGAAAACTGTATCTGTAGTTTAAACTCAGGAATGATAGGGTCCATGTAATGGACTGCACTCAAGCTGAAGGGCGGAGTTAGCACAGATGATCCATTAAAATTATGCAATTTATCTATCAAACTATTTCAGCCTTGTGGGCTTCACATATTAAACAAGCTAATATTATGCTCATAAAAGGGAAATTCTAAACATCTGCGTATGAGGGCAGTAGAGAGTATCCCTCAATGCATGGAGCTTCACATGTGGTGACATCATGCGGATCAAATATTATTCACTGGGGTACAGGGCATCAAACTGATTGAAAACTACACACTCAAACTCTGCGGAGCTCAAAAGTGAGGTAATCAATGAGGAATAAACATTCCTGCAAGGGAACTCTGTCGATGTGGTGATTTTTTATTAAAAAAGGATGTTTTGCAGTCCATTCACAGTCCACTGTCATGGCATGACTTGAACATTTGGCTGACTTTGCAATAATGCTACAAAAGTAATAATAAAGAGATGCCTGGATGTCAAATAAAATAAAAATAACAAAATTTTAACAGATTCCATTCCAGATGAGCTGCCCTGCAAATCTGCTTTCAATTCCCACTTTTCTGTCAATGTCTGAGTTAAGATCTTGGCCATATGAAAACATGATGTTTGCATGTTAGAAGTGACCAAACCACTCTGAACAAATGTGTACTTTAGGGCAATCTCCCAGCCCTCTTTCTGCCAGCTGCAATGTTTTATATTTAGTTTAATATTTATTACCAGGGGCATGAGCACTCTAGTTACTTTTTGGCTATCAAAATTCAGAGAAATGTCCATGATGTATAATTTGGCTGATTCCCCTAAGCACGTTACTCCCCATATCCAAAAATGTTCCTTGTGGCAAACTATACAATCCCAGCTCTGACTGGAGGCAATAATTAAACTTAATCAATTATGAATAAGAAATATACCAGCTGGCATAATGGAAATCAGTTTTTTTGCCTTCTGACTGCTTCCATGAATTACAGCTGAAAAAAAATTGCTTTCATTGCTGGTGGGACTCCTGGGAACATAATTTTTATCTGAATTTTGGGATAAGATGTATTTACTAGGAAGATTCCACTGTCAGTTTGGCCTGATGTAAATGCTTGTGTCAATAGCAGTGAGAGAAAGTTTCTTGTTTAGGTAACTGTCAAAAGAACGAACTTCGGGGAGACAGCAGATGACACACAAGTAAAAGACCCCAGATTAAAAAACAATCTTTCAGTCCTTGTGATAATGGATTCTGTGACAGTGATGCTGTGAGCCTTGAATGAAATGTGGTTTCCTGTCTTGTTGCATGGTGAATAGACAACGTTAGTCAGCCTACTGCTGCTATGTGTTCCATGGCCAGCAGGTGGCAGTCTCTGCCCATCCATCAGGAACCTTCCCTTTGCACATGATCTGGCTGTTCCTCGCAGTAGCTAAATAGATAAATCAACATCATACATTTTTGGAGTGTTGTACCATGTGTGCCGAAATGTGCTCCAGCCTCACCCAAAAGATTTTTGAGTGCGGTATTTTAATAAAAAATAAGCAATATTATTTACTAAAACAGATTTACTACAGCACGTTTAGCTTCAGCTCTGTTTTCTATATATTATAGGCCTTAAATCGATCACTATCTTCTATATCTTTTCTGCTAAATATTAATGACTTTCAGGAATACTTATCTATTGGCCATTTATACTTCTACACAGATGCACTCACCTCAGTGGAATAGGAATGCTTAACAGACTGCTATGGTTTGTATGTTACATTATACAGAAAAAGGATGATACTGAGAGATACATCCATCCATTCAGTCATCCATTTACACTCTGATGGCTTATCCTGGTCAAGGTAGCCAGAACAAAGGGAAACATTACCTACATAATGAATCGCTAGAGGAATGAAGAAAACTTTCCAGTCTTCTGTCCTTCTTAAGGAAATAATTCTTTAAGGTGGAAAAAAATGCTAACGCTAAAGGGAAGAGTGACGGCACGGTGACTGTTTTCACAGGTGGCTTTATGTGTTGGTTTCCTGTCCTTCCCTGCTTACACCATCTAAGGCTTTATGTCAGGGTGACTATTTCTCCTGACTCGTTACTGAGAATTTGTGATTTAGGGGTTGGGTAGCAGCAGAACAGAACAAAACCCCTGACCTTCCTTCGTTAGGCCGTTATCGCCGCTGCTAGGTTCCCTTAACGCCCATACCAGTCTGGGCCCAGTGATCCACTGGGCTACAGAACACTGGGGGTGTTGCGGAGGATTTCGTTTACTTGCAAAAAAATATTTCCGAAATTCTTACGACCGCCTGCGCCCGTTGTTCCTGGGATAGGCTCCGGGGCCCCCAGGGCCCCCGCGGGGATTAAGCGGTAATGATAATGGATGGATGGAATTCTTACGACTCCTCATATTCTAACATTCTGATAGCATTTGAAGATATGGAAACAGTCAAAGTGACAAAATCGCCGATCAATTCAAATTGCCCCTTTTTCAGTCCGTCACATTTTTGTACAACATAAACTGGTTTGTGGACATCAAATGGCTGGGAGCCTCTAGTATAGGAACCTCTGCAGTGTGCCCAGATACAAAGTAGAAACAGCCATACCTGAGTGGTTCTTAATCCTAACCCTTCTAGCCCAAGACGTTGAAGGTCATTGAGTCTCATGACCTCTTGCTGGCAAGAAAATCACAAATAATTTCCCTGTTTCCAGGTCTTGTTTCCAGTGAAATGGGGAGACATTGGTGTTCTCTCGCTGCCTTCATGGGCCTGGCGTTCTGCGGCTTGATCTTGAATGTCAAGGCTCAGAGTGGTAAGTCTTCATAATCTCCTGGAGGCCCCAGAGGAACCTTCTTTATTACAGCATCATGGCTCAGGCAACAAGTTATGATGCAGAACCATCCAAAGTACACAGACACGCTAAACATAGCGATTTCAAAGTTTACCCATCTGATAATTACATTATTAATGTTCTGTTCCGTATATTTTGCAACCTGGTTCATAGATAATTATTTATACTGTATATTTAATTAGTCAATGTTTCAATGTGGAAAAGCAGTAAAAAGGAATTTGCACTTGGTCAGGACCTTTAGTGGGTTGCAGTAATGGTTTTCAAACTTTTTGTCTGGAGAAACCCTCCAAAAAGAATCGATCAAGCCTTGGAATCCCTTCCAGTACGATAAAATCTGCCAACGGGGGTAGGAGCTGAGGAGGGTGCTTGTGTTTATTTAGCTTAAAGAAATAATGGAATTGTTTGAGTGAAATGCTCGAATGCTTGTAAAACCAATCAGACTTGACTTGGGCCAGTTTTGACCAAGTGTCAGCAGAGCAATCATACAGTTGTGTGGTGTAATAGGTGCCTTGTGTCATAGTTCTTTGGAACAGAGTTTTATGTGGAATTCCCAGTGACTAGGGAGGGAAAATAAACCACACAGGCACCTTGCTGCTTAGACACTTGGGATTGACAAAAAAGTGGGCTCTTTTCCAAGGTTGCTATGGAAACTAAACAGAACACACCAGTACATACAAAAGAAAGAAGGGGGCTAATGGAAGATATGAAACTGTCCTCTGACTCCATCCCTCGCTCCGCTGCCGCCCCATAGTATTACAGTACACATATAGAAAAGGAGCAGCACTATTTGTCCAGAATAAATCATTTTTTCCAGCTGCCAGGTGGTTGTACTGCTTAGTGATCTTCCCCAAGGAATTCGCTCCAAATTACACAAAAAAATAAATGGGCAAAAGAATCACACTGGACCCAACAACGACTCTCCACACTGAGCTAAACAAGAGCAGCAACTGTCACATGTTTCATTCCTAGATGCTTTGTTTCTGCTAAGCATCACACGTACATATTACATGCTGCCTACAGGCTACACCTCATGTTAAAATCAAATGAAGTTTACCAGCATAATTGCTCATCTTTTTACACGCATGTATCATTTTCCGATACATAAGCTGACACTGCAAAAGGATAAAAGTCAGATTTTAGTTGTATTATATTACATACATTCATGGTTTTTGAGACCAAGAGCCTATAATAGGAGAGCAAAATGCCTTTATTTCACCAAACAGAGATTGTAATTCAGCAGGAATATCAACTGGACACTATGCATTTGGCTTACGTGGTCAGTGAAATTAACATTGTGCTTTGAAGATACTGAAATCTGTTGGGCCTTGTCTCACCCCCCCCCCCACCCCACGCTCTCAATGGTTGACAGAAATGGAGTCAAAAGTCACACAAATGAGAAAAACTGGGTGTGTCAGGCTTGCTCTCTGCACCGTGTTGAGAAAATGCACAGAAATTTGTGGCCCCATCTTCAGTTCCTGCGGAAACTGGGATCTTTTCATTTTCTGATCCTGATAGGATTCTGATCCTGATAGGATTCTGATCCTGATAGGATTCTGTGCAGGGAAGTCGGTAACACTTTCCTTGAGGGGGCACAAATACTTTGTAGTTACTACAGAAGTACAAATCATGAACAAATATAGTAGCTACTTGAGATTAAGATGCATCACGATTCATTAATAATGAAAAAATATGAGATCAGTATTTCACTTCTGTTATTCATTACTTGTTCCTTCCGTAGTTCCTTAGTAGTTCCTTCAATAGCACAGAAAGGTTTGCAGAACTAACAAATATAGTAACAAATATAGTGACTGCATGAGATAAAAGATGCTTCACAATTCATTAATGATGAATGAACATGAAATCAGTATGTAACTAAGACTTACTTAGTGGTTAATTAATACATAAGTAAGAGCACAATATTATATTATTGTATAATATAATAATCTAACAACTCCATTCCTGACAACTAGTGCCACTTCTGTGCCAGTCTGCATCACTCACTTCCTGTTGACATCTTTCCTCTCTCATTCACCCAAACAAAGAATCGTAGATTCTTATTAAGGCAACTTTTTTAACCGTTTGTTCACAAAAATGTACCCATAGTGCAACAAACTTTAGGAGGGCTACCTATATTAATTTAAAATATTCAAAACTATGCTTGTGCCTTGAAAACTTCACTTGTCTCACGGCAATGAAGAGGAGCTATGAAGTTTAGCCACGGCTAAGCAGAAATGTGTGTTCTGTCACTGTAAAAGAAGGAGCTTTTAACTATGTCCATAACCCACTGCCGCTTCTCTGTCTGAGCACAATGTACCTTTTACGTATTACCAGCTTGCTTCATAAGTGCACACAAATGTTCCAAGTGTCCCACCTGTTTAAACAGTGATGACCATCTAAGTCCATTCTTGACATATCAGAAGAGCACGTAACTTGAAATTTAGGATTAGCTTAATGTGACTTTTAGTATTTCATCTCTGCAAGAGCTCATCATGCGCTTGACAGACTAAAGATGATATTAATAATAATGTGTTCTGAGCAAATAAAGTTCCACTTGCAGTTAGTGTCACATGTCATGGCAAGTGTACCAAAAGTATATGTCAGAATGGGCAAGGGGATCATCACTGATCTTTTGATCACTGTGTTACGTAACATGAGTTTGCATGGAGGGACTGAATTCTAGAGGTTGTGCCCAGTTTACATTGATGAACCGATTCAGTGACAATAGATACGTAAATATAATTTAATTTAAAAAAAATAATTTTGTCCATATATATGTATGTTTGTGTACATGCACATTTAGCTTTCGGCAAGAAATCTGTATAGATGCTGAACTAAAAATGGCATTTTCATGAAATTAAAACTGAATTTTCTAGGCTATTAAATAGTGTCTAGAATTTCTCAAATTTTAATGTAACATAATTCACAATCAATGACAATAAATGCCATTTTGTACTACTACATTACATTACATTGTACAACTGCATTACATCAAAACATTTTTCAGAAAAACACAGACATGCATTATATGTTATTCAAGCTTGTAACAACCTCAGTTCAGTCGCCATGCAGAATGATGTGCTTGTTCTTGTACTGGAGACCGTCTTTCTTGATGGATAAGACGGGATCATGATGTGATGTGGCTGCATGTCGTATCCTCAGCTTTCACATGTTGCATTTTGTTCTCTGTTTTGTTTCTCTCTCTCTCTCTCTCTCTTTCTCCATTAAGCTCAAGAGTCGGCTGACCTTATATTCTTAATTGATGGATCAGAGAGTGTTGGAGTCACCAACTTCCTTCGCATCCGCACTCTGGCTGTGAATGTCATTGAGAGGCTTTTGGTGGGAAAAGACGCGATCCGAGTCGCTGTGGTTCAGTATAGCAACACCCCCCAAATTCAGTTCTATCTAAATAACTATCAAAGTAAGGCTGACGTTATAAATGCAGTCGAGGAAATGAGTTTCCTAGGTGGCACAGAGGCTAATTTGGGGGCAGCCCTGGAGAAAGTTGCAGAAAGTTTACTTGGCTGGGAAGCAGGCGGCCGGGCGGAGGAGGGGTTGCCTCAGGCAGTGGTCGTTATCAGCGCTGGGCCTTCCAGTGATGACACGAAGAAAGGCATCAGGGCTCTCAAGCAAGCCAATGTGTTTACGTTCAGCGTCGGGATCGGCAATGTCGATCTTACGGAACTGGAGGCCATAGCCACGGATAAGAGCTTTGTGTCAGCGTCGTCCGATATCACTTCTGCGGACCAGCTGAGGGACGTGATTCTGTCGTTTGTTAATGGGGTGGCTCAGCGTGACATTGTTTTAGAAACTCATATAACTGAAGGTATGTAACCCAGCAAGAAGCCATGTGACCACAATCCAAAGAAATGTGACATCATTGCATAAATCCTATCATTGGATTGGATTTTGCATGGCATTGTAACTGAACTTCTCATGTATTTGTCTTTGAAGACACATGGAAACTTTGTGGAATACATTTTATTGATATAAAAGTAACGTGAATTATAGCTGTGTATAATTGTTATGTCCTTTAGCAGATAGGCCCTAATGAATTAAGTTTATGGAAAAAAACAGTCCACTTAATAAGCATACAGACCCTTTTGGGTTTCTGGCTCAAGGCTTAGCATTTGACAGAAATGGTATCCAGTGAGCAGTCCAAACAGGACCTGATAATAGAGCACATCTCTGATAAACACATATTTAACATATTTAGCATGTTTATCATTAAATCATATTTTATATTTTTACATTGAGAAATACTTATACCAATAAACCACCATTTTAACTGTGTGATTAACGACTTTGAAATGTTGTTTTTCAGCCCTGGCTGTTGGGAAGAGGGACATAATTTTCCTCATAGATGGCAGTCAAAATATGGGTGGCACCCATTTTAGTGCGATCCGCCAATTTATCGTGAGGTTTGTCGATTCCATGCCTATTGGCCGAGACCAAGTGCAAGTGGGTGTGGCCCAATTCACCACCAGCCCTAAGGCAGAAATAAATCTGAACACATATAGCACAAAGGAGGCCCTCAGTAATGCTGTGAACAGGACTCGGCTGAGAGGAGGGACACCGGAAGTCAACCTAGGGGCGGCCTTGAACTTTGTAAGGACCCAGATGCTAAGACCAGACGCCGGGAGTCGCATCCAGGAAAGAGTGCCTCAGTTACTGCTGGTGCTGTCTGCCAAGAAATCCAGCGACGACGTTACCCAGCCAGTCCATGAACTCCAGCGAATGGGTGTCCTGATCATGGCTGTGGGCTCCAAAGCGGCAGATGAACAGGAGCTGAAGGAGATTTCCATCAATGAGGATTTAGTCTTCATGGTGAAGGATTTCCGGCAGCTGCTCCGCAATCCAAAGTTTATCGTCGCTCCCCTGTCAACGTTATCTGGAGTTGTTGTGACAGAAGTGCCTACAGAAACAGGTAATAATCTGATTATTGGTAAGTGGTTGCCAGGTCTATGGTTTTCCTGCCCAATTGGGCTATTTTGAAAATACAGTTGCTTGTAAATATCAGAAGGTTGTGGGTTTTTGGGCTGCTTTCATAATGTTCCATGGCAGCAGACTGTAAGAAGAAAAACAAATTAATTGTTATGAATACAAGTGGCTCCTATTACTGAATAATATCGAATCGCCAGCCACCTAAAGTCAGAAACAGATGCACGCGGTAAGCAGGGTTGCCAAATCCCATGCATTTGGCGTGACACTCACGTTTTCAGACTTACGCAAGCAACTTCTCGACAAATCTATATTATTCCATTATTAACCTAAAACATCAGAAGTGTTGGGGTAGTTTGCAAACCCTACAGACTATTAACAAGGCGATAAAACTGTTACATACATGTAAATGTGTGTACAGACTTGTCTCAAATTGAAAATCTCAGTCCAACCTGCTGATCAAAGTTGGCAAAAAAGACAGTGCATCCGTCTACATGACGCCATTGCATCTAAGTGTGATTATAAGATGTTATGTGATCAGCATGCAAAATACGGATTTATTTCTTTGACATATAGTATACTGGGATTTCAAATATTGGGCTAGTTTCAGCTTCCAATGGACAGATTTTAAGCAGACCTTGGACTGGATATTTAAGCTGGACCTGGCAACACTGGTTAACCCAGCTAACTGTGAAATCCTGCTTTGTGTAACACCATGACGGACAGGCTGTTCCTAGGAAGCGACAAGTCCTTTACCATATTTTGCGTTGCTGTTCCCTCAGTATGCCTCGTATTTTTCACCTGGATCGCTTTACTAACAAATTCTGTAAAAATAACTTAGAAATATTGTTCCAGGGTAATTTATTTTCCCAAAAGGTATCAGTAAGGTGTCTGTATTTTTATGTGCGCTTATATGTGCTGCGTTTGTAAATCGCTCAAACAAAAACATACTTTGTCCCACCATTATGTAACTGAAATAATTTTTAAACGTTTAAAAAGTTTAGTTTGTTTAGAAACTATTCGCAATGTTCAGGGAAGAGGTATTCAGTGGAAGTTTGGTCAGTCATTGTTGTTTGTGGCTTGAGTTTTAAATATGTACCGCATTAGTCAAAAATCTGGACACACGTACCCATAGAAAGGTTTTTTTTGTACTATTCTCATTTTTAAATTATTCTAAAAACAGAAAACTATAAACCAACATATTTGGACATGTAACATGTTATGCACTGAGCCAAAAACTATTAAACAAAAAACAATCATTTGTTGTGGGGGGAGCAGCTCTGTGGGTTGGAACTCAGAAGGTTGCCAGTTCAAATTCCATGGTCTACAGAGTTATGCCACCATTGGCCCCTTGAGCCCAGGGACTGACTGGTCCTCCACTCTCTTCTATGCCAATTTCATGAGGTGCCCCCCTAGGATGCTTTTTCAGCTGTCCTGAAGGAGGTCACACATATATTCTCAACACAAATTGGTCATTCATTCTCTGGTAAAATTGGTGAAATTAGTGCACATTAATATAAAACTCTTATTAGGCTGCTGGAACTATCTGCGGTTACATGAAAATAATCAACACCCACGTGACATCTCTGGACCAATAAGAAAATAGTGTTTACCAAAGCCTTGGTATAAGAATTAATATAGCATTAAAACATCTTCTGTTGACAGTCATAAAGCATTTAGTGTTGATTATAATTCTTCATAAGCTCTAGTTAAGCTGGCATTTATAATGCACTACAGATACCATCATAATGCATTATAATAGTTTGTAAAAGAATTAAGAGTGTTTTTTTACTGCATTGTTAAGGTATCTATAGGACAGTATAGATGAGAGCTTCATAAAGCATTCATAATGCATAATACACATGGCTATAATGTCCATCTATCCATTCATCCATCCATTTTCTGTAACCATTTGTCCTATTCAGGCTTGCGGGGGGTAATGGGAATAGCTATAATGTGTTGTGTTTTTTTATTTTTACAGCCATTTAATAATGCTTTATGATTGCATTATGATGTGTTATGAATCTATTCATAGATACTTACAGACGTAAAATTCATAAAAAGTGTTCCCAGAATTTCTTCAATTCTCTGTAAGGCACTGGCATCTTTTTGGATGGCTAAAAGAACACAAATTTGGTTGCAAAACCTCTCCTTAGGGGCACCTCAGCCATTCCATGCATTAGCTCAATTAATAATAAATCAATATATACTATGACATGAGTGAAATCATGTAGTGGATGAGTTTAATCGTTTTCTGTGGCTATGAACTTAATGCATTGATGACTTATGTACTGATTTGTCTTCACAGTCACTGAAATAACCACAGTGCAAACCCAGCGAGTTGTCAGGGATATCGTTTTCCTTGTGGACGGCTCCGACTATGTTGGCAATGCCAACCTGCAATTTGTGCGTGAATTCATCACACATGTGGTCAACCAACTCGACGTCCGGCCTGACAGGGTGCAGATAGCCCTGATGCAGTTTGCAGAGAACCAGCACACAGAGTTCTACCTGAACACCCACTCTAATAAGCAGGATGTCCTGAATGGAATTGCTCAGCTACGTCTGATGGGCGGATCCCAGCTAAACACAGGAGCAGCAATGGAATATGCTTTGCAAAACCACTTCCTGCCCTCAGCCGGATCCAGGAGGAGACAAGGTGTCCAGCAGGTGCTTGTACTCATCACTGGAGGACCAGCTCAAGATGCAGTAAAACAGGTTGCTGACAAATTAGCCCTGGCTGGAGTTCTGACCTTCGCCGTTGGTGCAGGTCCAGTGGATCAAGCTTTCCTTCAGACAGTCGCCTTTGTTCCTGACCTGGCATTCTATCAGAGCAGTTTCTCTAGGCTACCAAACGTCGTTACACAGATCATGAAACCTTTGATAACGGTAGTGGGGGACACAAAAACCGAGGAAGGTGAGTTTTATGACAGTAATCTTTTCATTTATTTCGATGGTGCATTGAAATTATTCAGGTAAATTTTTATTCTGTAATGTAAGTGTATTGATATGGACAAATATGATCTATTTAAACAATACTTTTTTTCTCCCCTTTCGGAAAAAGGAGAAGAGAGGGATGTTGCCTTCCTGATTGATGGATCGGATGCTGTTACAAGTGATTTTCCCCATATCAAGGACTTCATTTTAAAAGTTATCGAACCTCTAGATGTTGGAATTAACAAGGTCCGGATTTCTGTGGTGCAGTATAGTGAAAAACCCACATTAAGCTTTTATCTGAATACATATTCCACAAAAGAGGAAGTAATTAGTGCAATTAATGGGCTAAGACTGGCTGGAGGCCGAAGTTTGAACACTGGGGAAGCCTTGGCTTATATGAAGGACACAATATTCTCATCTGAATATGGCAGCAGAATTTCAGAAAATGTTCCTCAGTTTTTGATAGTTCTAACTGGTGGGAGGTCACAGGATAATGTGAGAGACCCAGCTATAGCCCTAAAGACAAAAGGAGTTGTGCCTTTTGGAGTTGGTGTGAAGAACGCAGATCGGCATCAGATTGAAGCTATCTCCCACAACCCAACCTTTGCATTCAATGTGAAGGACTTCAGCCAACTGAACACGGTTCATCAGCGACTTGGGAGTTATGTCAGCCTTCCGAAAGAAAGTCTAGCAGCTGTTCTACAACAAGGTAGGATATATTGGTTTTAATTCTTTGCTGCACAATCATATAAAGATATCATTTAATTCTTTTCTTTTTCAAAATGGCTTTGCCATGTTGATATGCTGATGTTTTCTGGATATCCCTGTTCATCCTGCTTCAGCTTATGTGGAAGATGTTAAAAAAGATGTTGTTTTCCTGGTCGATGGGTCTGATGGGACCAAAAACGGATTTTCGGCTGTGCAGGACTTTGTTCAGAGAGTTGTGGAAAAACTCAATGTGGAGAGAGACAAAGATAGAGTTTCTGTGGTTCAGTACAGCCAAGAACCAGAGGTTAATTTGTATTTGAACACATTCTCAACAAAAGGAGATGTTCTTGATGCTATCAGAAGTCTGAGACACAAGGGAGGACGAGCCGTGAACACTGGAGCGGCTCTCCAGTTTATAAGAGACAACATCTTGACCGCTCCTTCTGGCAGCAGGCGCCTGGAGGGTGTTCCTCAGATATTGATTCTGTTGAGTGGTGGAAGGTCAGAAGATGACATTAGAGGTCCAGTAAGAAACATGAAGGAAATGGGAATTTTTTCGTTAAGTATTGGCACAAGAAATGCCGACACACTGGAGTTGCAAACAATATCCCACAATCCGAAATACGCAGTTTCTCTCACTGATTTTGATACCCTTCCTGCTGTTCAACAAGAGATTATATTTTGGATAAATGAAGCTTCTCATCATATACCAAAACCAACAAGTAAAATTATTGGTAAGGAAATACTATGTTTTACAAATAATTGTTAGAAGTTCATTATATGACATTTTTCATCATGTTATTTCCAACAAAATCTAAAATTTATTTATTTTTTTGTACATTGATAGTAATGACATTATTAATATGTCTTATAATTTATTACAGAATCGGCAAGAAAGGATGTGATCTTTCTTCTTGATGGATCTGATAATACTAGAAATACATTTGAGGGAATCCGTAGATTTGTTCAAAGAATAGTGGAGAACCTTAATGTGGATGATGGTAGCGATCAAGTTGCAGTGGTCCAATACAGCAAAGATGCTGAGATCAATTTCAACCTCAAGTCATTTTCATCTAAAAATGAATTGCTGAATTCATTAAAGTCCATTGTACACAAGGGTGGAAGAGACGTGAAAATGGGTGCAGCTCTTGATTATGTTAGGGACAATGTCTTCACTGCTTCTTCTGGTAGCAGGCATGCAGAAGGTGTTCCTCAGATTTTGTTGGTCCTCAGTGGAGGCCGCTCCAGTGATGATATCAGGCATCCAGCACAAGCACTCCAAGAGAGTAAAATCAAGGTCTTTGGTATTGGAATGAGAAACGCTGATGTGCTGGAGTTACAGACTATAGCTTCCACACCGAGTTTTGCTTTTTCTGTGTCTGATGCTGAGAGTCTTGAAAATATCCAGCCAAAAGTATCCTCACTCTTAAATGATCTCCAAGAAAGGCTACCCACAGCAGCAACCCTCTTCGGTAAGAATTATGATTTGAGATAACCAAGTGATCTATAAGGTCTTAAAATTGACATAATTTTCATGTTAACACTTTGTATGGTTTTCAAATATTTGTAGCATTTTATAGTGCATATATAGCGTTTATAGTGTATTTATCATGTATATCTGTATTTTTTCATTGTTTCAAGATGGATTTTAGAAAATTTCAACTATATTTGATTGTTTTATCAAGGCTTACTATTATGTATATGCACATAAGGATAAATCTTGTGCTCCTTCACTACTGAGTGAAAAATGTATGTTATGTGATTGTGTCTGCTCTATTCATGCTCAGTAAATATTCCATGACATATTTTGATATTTATAATTCAAGGCTCCAGGTTGGAAAGGGACATTGTGTTCCTTATTGATGGATCAGATGATTCTAGAAATAGATATAATGCAATACGTACGTTTATGATGAACATAATTGGAAAACTGGATGTGGATCAGAAGAAAGATCAAGTTGCTGTTGTGCAGTACAGTAACACTGCAGCCACTGAATTCTACCTAAATACTCACACAACTAAAGAGTCTATACTCAATGCTGTCAGATCCCTCAAACCCAAGGGTGGGAGACCTCAGTACACTGGAACAGCACTCCAGTTTGTTAAAGAAAGAATGTTCCTCCCATCGGCTGGCAGCCGGCGTTCTGAAGGTGCACAGCAGATCCTAGTGTTGGTGGTTAGTGGTAGATCACGCGACTCTCCCAGAGGACCTGCAGAGGCACTGAAGAGCTCAGGGGTCGTCACGTTTGCTCTTGGGTCTGCAATGACTGATCCCGTTGAGCTGCAGAGCATCTCATTCCAACCTGACTATGCATATTTCTTATCTGATTTCAACAACCTGCCAGAAATTGAGCAAAACATAGAAGCAAAATTTGCTCAGTCAAAATTAATGGAAGAGAAAATGTTCATAGGTAAGAAATTGCATCTATTCATTTATTTTTAAGTTTATTATATTGACTGTCTTGGTAAGCCTAGGGTCTATTTCAGTAAGCAAAGATCAGGAGGATAGGGACAGCCTGGAAGGGATGTCAATTAAGTAATGCTGATGTATTTTAAGGAAAAGACACTGGTTTTAAAGACTTAAATAGTGACAAAAAAGACATGAGACGGTGGTTCGAATTCTAAATGAATATGCTGCTGTCAATGACGAAATGTAAATAAACATAACCACATTGAATAATAATATTTCTTACATGTCTTGCAGAGGGAGATGAAAGAATAAAAAGGGATTTTGTATTTCTTTTGGATGGCTCTGATAATAACAGAAATGGATTTACAGCAATGCGTACCTTTGTCCGCAACATTGTGGAGAGTCTCAATGTGGAGGAAAATAAAGACAGAGTGGCTATAATCCAGTTTAGCAATGTTGCAGTGGCAAATTTTTATCTGAATTCATTTTTCAAAAAGGAAAATGTGTTACGATCAATACGAGGACTTTCACAAAAAGGAGGAAGAGCTCAGCACATTGGGGCAGCACTCCAGTATATAAAGGACAACATATTTACAACCCCTTCGGGCAGCAGACGCCTGGAGGGTGTTCCACAGATATTGATTCTGTTGAGTGCTGGAAAGTCCACTGACAATGTAGATGCACCCGCAGCTGCTCTGAAAGAACTTGGGGTCTTGACATTTGGAATTGGATCGAAAAATACAGATATCAGAGAACTGCAGAAAATATCATATGAACCTAGATATGCTCAGTCTGTCTCAGACTTCAACGAGCTCCCAAGGATACAAGAACACCTTCTGTATTCTGTAGCTACAGTAATAACTAGAGTATCAACAGAAGGACCAACAGTCATAGGTATGAGAAAGGTTTTGCCATCAAAACTACTCTGGCATCTTAAACGTAGTCTTATGGGATTTCTCAGGAGTGCATGCCTTCTTTGAAATTAATAGGGCATTTCAACAAGCTTAATGCTTGAAAACAAACTGCTTCTATCTCGTACAAAACATGGCATGGATCCACTTCTCTCATTCACCTGCTGTGTTTTCTCCATTTCTCGAATAGTAGACCGTGACGTTACAGGAAAGGATGTTGTCTTCCTGCTGGATGGTTCTGATGGCACTAGAAATGGATTCCCAGCAATGCGAGACTTTGTTCAAAGAGTAGTGGATAAACTGAAGCTGGAGGAAAAGCAAGA